TAAGCTTAAGTAACTACAACATTTTGAGTTCTGAAAATGACAGAATGTTTTCATAGTTAATATTCAAGTTTATTTGTAGAGCGTTTTTCACAAGCAGCTTTACAAAAGGTGCCTGTTATTAAACTACAACCGAAATGACAAAAAAATTATAGTGTGAGTAGGGTGGACAGTACAGTTGCAAACAAAGGCAAGCAGTTATCTGCGTATAATGGGCAACGGTTTATAATATTTCAATTCAAAAAGTCAAGTTTTATTTTTATTTTTTTTCAAAATATTGTGTTTTAGTGTTTTATAACAAAGAGTCTGGTGCATATAGAGAGGACCACCTGTTTCCTACAGGTGGTCTGTTAAGTTTTATGGTAGGGCTGCATATCGGAAAAATCTAATATTGCAATGTTTTTTTTTTTTTTTGCGATATGAATATAGTTTCACAATATGGTCTGAATATAAAAGCTCTATTTGATAATTTTCTGGGGTTTTGTTTTCACCTTTTGAAGAAACCATTCAAAATGAAGAGTTTTTTTTAAATAAGCAAAATTATCTCCCACTGGGGTAAGTAAAATATTCTTATATTCGCCTTAAAATCTAAATATTTGGACTAGAAACAAGGCTAAAATATATATATTTTTCTCCATAAACAAAATTCAAAATAAAATTCATCTTTGTTCGACCTATAAACATGATTTTTATTTTACACTAAATATTGCAAACTCTCTTTTTTAGCTATTTAGACTTCGTGATTAGTGTACTGACTACTGAACATAAGAAGTGAATCGAGACACACCCAAGTGTTCATTGATCCCTACTTCCTGAGCTCAGGAAATCTTTACTTCAGAACCATTCATGGATTTGAAACAAACAACTAAAGTAATACGAGAAACATTCAAAATGCGCAGAGCAGCGGGGCGCAAGGACCAGAACTGAGAACCTTTGCTTTTAAAGTAATGAAGAGAAGATTCAAACGGAGGCCATGATTAGAGAAGGTGAGCTGAGGAATGTTCTGAACATTTCAGGAGAAGTTTAAAGAGGTCATAAGCACAGAGAAATTAAATTAAAAGACAGTTATTGTCAAAAAATAAATAAAATAAAAGCAAAGCCATGCACATCAGACTCTGGCGTAGCAGCAATGGATCTGCGTGCACAAATAGTCATAGCAGATGCAAAGTGTCCTTTTCAAAAGCATGCCGTGACAGGAAGTGATCTCACACAAGGGGTGATCCCACATTTAGTCAGATCTCTGTGACAGGTGCAAACATCTCGTGCAGTGGCCATGTTGTTTATGAATACACACGCGTACACAAATATGATCACTCTCAGATTCATCCCACTCACATGACCCACACACACACCAGCTGGGTGTTAAAGACTGTGTGTGTGCGCACTAAAATATTACCAGTTATGCTAAACAGCTTCTAAGAAACCTTGTCTTTTTCCCTTTTATGGGTCAACCAGTATCTCCCCCAAAACAGCTGTTTTACCATTTATTAACCGTGGGGAAAACAAGTACTGAACACGTCACCATTTTTCTCAACAAACGTAATTGTAAAGGTGCTGTTGACTTGAAATTTTCACCAGATGTTGGTAACAATCAAAGAAATCCATATAAGTTAAGAAAACAAAACTAATTAGTCACAAAAAAGTATTGAACACATGAAGAAGGAAGATGTAGAAAGGCAGGGAAAGCCCAGACAGCAGCTGAAATCTCTCAGCAGTTCTTCAGCGACCCTCTGCCCTTCATCATGGTAAATGATTATCAGCTGCAGCATCTACATTAGCAGGATGATGAAGATGAAACCAGGGTGGACATTTCAGCAAGACGATTATCCAAAACACAGCCAAGGAAACTCTTAAAAGCTTTCATAGAAAGAAAATCAAGCTGTAGAATGGTCCAGCTAATCACCTGACTCGAATCCAATAGAAAACACAAAATAAAGATCATATAGCCGAGACCCACAGAACTATCAAGATTTTTACACTCTGTTGAAGTCTGTGAAAAACTCAAACCTGAGCAACAGATGTGACTTCATTCTCCATATGAGAGGCATCTTTAAGCAGTCATCACCAAAAAGCCTTTTATATAAAGTATTAAATACATATCAGTAGTTGGGTACTTTCTGCTTGTGTCACTCCATTGTTATTACACAATTCATTTAAAAAAATTTTGTTGGTTTTGTTTGATTTTTGCGTTTGTATTGTTTGGAATTTTACCAAAATCTGCTTTAATTCCATGTCAACAGCTCCTTTAGAAATATTATTCCCAGGAAAAACATGACATGTTCAATACTTATTTCCCTCACTGTATGTCTTTATGATCAATTGGCAGTATATTAAAATAATCATATAGTCAAATGCAGTCGTACAAAAAGACAGGACTTATCAAACTTATCATAACTACAATTCAATTATACTTGAGGACCTGCGAGTACACACTGGTGAATGCACAGGAAAAAACAAACAGTTAGTCTTATTTCTAGTCAAAATGTCTTCATATTCTTAAATTAAGTTAAAATGTTGGTTAAAATGGTTTGGTTTTCAAAAACAATTTTTCCAATAAACAAGCTATATTACTGGGTTCAATGAAATGATCCTGAATTCAGATTATTTTACCGACTCCACTGCATGGCAGATTATTTAGTTTGTTTTAATAAAAAACTCACTGCAGTTTGACTTATTATTTCCGAAAACAAAACAGTATTTTTACTTGTCTAGAAAGTATTTCTTGATTTAAATTTTTTTAGAAATTTGGACGAGAAATTAGTCAAAAAACTGAATGAATTTTTGCATTGTGCGTTATTACTTATATGCACAGAAGGGATTCACTCTTCTGTGAAACTTAAACATGGATTATAATTAAATTTCACCTTAATAAGAACGCCAATGCTTTTGCAAATAATCTCATTTGGGTTTTATTAATAAATAAATTACCTATAAAGGAGGCTGTTCTCCATGTACTGCTACACTGCAAAAATAAAAAGGTTTTTTTGTCTAGTTTCAAGTGCATATATCTAAAAATTATTAAATCAAGAAGCATTTCTAGACAAGTAAAAAAAATATTGTAATGTTTTAGGAATAATGTGTCAATATTAAGTCAGTTTTTCCCTAAAACAAGTAAAATAATCTGCCAATGGGGCAAGCGAAATAATCTTGTTTTTCCTTCTGGTATAATATTATTTCGTATACATCCACTGGGAGATTATTTAGCTTGTTTTAATAAAAAACTCACTCAATTTTGGCCTACTATTTATTAAAAAACATATGTTTTGCTTGTCTATAAAATGCTTCTCGATTTAAAAGCTTTTAGATATTTGGACTAGAAATTAGTGAAAGACTCAAAATAAAAAAAGCATTTTGGCATTTTGCATCATTACTTATATGCACAGCAGTGATTCACTCTTCTGTGATACTTAAACATGGACTATAAGTGAACTTCACCTTAATAAGAATGTCAATGCTTTCGCAAATCTCATTTGGGTTTCATTGATAAATAAATGACCTATAAAGGAGGCCAATCTCCTTTATGCACTGCAAAAAATGCTTTTCTTATTTTTGGTCTCGTTTCTAGTGCAGATATCGAAACATTCTTAAATCAAGAAGCATTTTCTAGACAAGTAAAACATAAGGTCTTGTTTTAAGAAATTCTATGTCAAAAGTAAGTAAAGGTTTTCCTTAAAAGCAGCAAAATAATCTGCCAAAGGGGTCAGCAAAATAATCTTGTTTTTCCTTCTGGCATAAGATTCTTTAGCTTCTTTTAATGACAAACTCGATAAAATTTGGCCGTTTATCTAAAAAAATTAACTATTTGTTATGTTTGCCTAAAAAATGCTTCTTGATTTAAGAATTTTTAGGTATCTGGACTAGAAACAAGCCAAAAAAATCTAAGTAAGAAACTCATTTTTGGCAGTGTAGGTGATCGACCTGCTATTGATGTCGCAGCTTTGAAGTTTCTAAGCAGTTTGCAATAATCACTCAAAACAGAACAAATAAATTAAGTAAATAATTTAATTTAAATTCTAACACCATCTGCTTAAAAATAATGGTAGCGTTGAAAGGAGATGAGTTAATAAGTAGCAGTGATTAACAAACGGGTGGCTATTTCATGTGGTTATACCATACTACTTCTATTACGCCACTTTTTAGAGGATTCAACTGAAGTCTCATGTGTGAATGTCTGAGATTGTTCAGCTCAAAACACCCCACAGATCATTTCTTAAACCATGCTACCAATTCTTGTGGATTCATTTGACAATGCAAATCATCGACATAAACTATAATATCTGCATGCGTGTTGAATCCTTGAATGCAGTGATTCTTACTGACCTTTACTAATAGGATTTGTGGAATCAAAGTAGTGGCAAATCAAGCATCTATAATAAAAACAGTGTATTTTTTGCTATTATAGGCTAAGTGAATAGTGACAAATAGGTCCCTTTTAATATATAACATAAAATAAAAAATATATATATATATATTATTATCATCATGTATCAATGATTAAAGGCATAGTTCAGCAAACAAATGAAATTTCTGTCATTATTTAATCACCCTTTACATATTTCAAGCCTTTATGATGGTTTTTCTTCTGTTAAACAAAAAAAGAAGATACTTTGAAACATGCTGTAACCATTGACATTCATAGTATTTGTTTTCCCTACTATGGAAGTCAATGGTCCCTAACATTCTTTGAAATATCTTCTTTTGTGTTCCTCATAAAGGTTTGGAAGCACATCAAGATGAATAAATAGCGAGTCATTTTTGCGTGAACTATTCCTTTAAGTATATGAACAGGTCTTGCATATGTAGTCAGCGTGTGTTACATCCTTTTTTTATCCAATCAGCTGTTCTGAGGGAGATGCAAGAGGCACTAGTGGTCACTTACCTGCTCAGTCACAAAACATACATACATACATATCATCTAACAAACCAGATTTCTCTTTTAACCGTGTCTCATCTTTTCTGTTGACAATCCTCATTAGCTAAAGCTGAGCCCCATCCTTTCATACCTGGTTGCCGGACATTTGTAGCCCCCACAAAGCTGATGAGGGTGACATCAGAGGCACCCCCAGACTCCAGGGGAATGGGGTGCACACGGAAATGCTCCAGCATGTCAAAAATAGACTGGAACCAGAGATGCTGCACACGACACTGTCCATCCTCGTTCAGAGAGAGGCGCAAGTGCTGGATGGAAGATGCCAGAGAAGAAGCATGAGGTATTTACTCGCCAAAATGATTTCAAGATGAACATGTAATGCAACTCCTTGTTAAAAGGTACAATTGAAGTCAGAATAATTAGCTCTCCTGAATTATTAGCCCCCTATATATATATATATATATATATATATATATATACATATATATATATATATATATATATATATATAAATATATATATATATATATTAAGGGTGTCACGATCCTCCAAATCCTCGATTCGATTACATTTTCGATTCTAAAGGCACGATTCGATTCGATTTTCGATTATGAATAATTAATTAATTAATGACTAATTAATTATTTGTAGCCTACCGTTTAAACTACCTGACCTGCATAGTCTTTGTTTTACCCATAAACAAATCATACAGTAAATGAATAAAGGCAAGATACACACATAATTACCACCTGTCAATCACTTTTTCTGCGGGACTCGTGAATAGGCAGTGATCTGTGTCGTTATAATGGTGTCGGTAAAAAAGACGCACAACCAACAGGAACCAGCCAACAGTATCTGAGGTGTTCGCTAAAATGACTAAGTACAAGTGAGTGAAAGATTGAAGCAGTCTACTGATCCTCTGACTACCTGAACCAGCTGTCTAGAGCCCATGGCTGTGAGTGCGTCTGTGTCTGTGTGTGTGTGTGTCAGAAGTAGAGAGGAAGGAGGGCTGCTCAGAAATGCTACACGCCACTGTGATTGTCAAATCGTTGTCGTTCTAAAATGCCATTTAAAAACAAAGACAGTGTAAACAGGGCCTGAGTGTGTACTTTTCGCGAGCGGATTTGCAACGGGGGCGGGCGGAGGATCGCGATGCCGGTGTTGTCTATCGGACGAACCCTAATACGTAAATAGCAGAGCTTTTAAAACTGTGTTTTTTTGTCGACAACACGAACGTTGTCAACATAACTCACTGAAAATCCAAAATGCTTACACACCAGCGACTTCATTGAAAGAGGAAAGGGTTTAAGTTCTGTCGACGGGTCTCCTGTATCTGCAGTTCAACAAGCATTTCAACAAGCCTGTTTTTTCCCGCTTGGCAAGCCAAGCTGACGTGACATGGGGGCGTGGCAGCATCGATAATCGAAATTGAGCATAAATTTAGATCGATTTCGATTAAAAATCGAAATATATATATATATATATATATATATATATATATATATATATATATATATATATATATATATATATATATATATATATATATATATATATATATATATATTTTTTTTTTTTTTTACACAATTTTTGATTAACAAAGATTTTTTTTAACACATTTCTAATCATAATACTTTTAATAACTCATCCCTAATAACAGATTTATTTCATCTTTGCCATGATGACAGTACATACTATTTTACTAGATATTTTTCAAGATACTAGTGTTCTGCTTAAAGTGACATTTAAAGGCTTTGAAAACTAATGTTGCTCAAGGCGGCTAATAATTTTCACCTTAAAATGGTTTTAAAAAATTAAAAACGGCTTTTATTCTAGCAGAAATAAAACAAATAAGACTTTCTCCAAAAGAAAAAAATTTTTTTTTTGCTCAGTTAAACATCATTTGGATAATTTTTGGGCAAAAAATAAAAAACTGTACATTACAGTAAGATATTGTTGGTTTATATAATATTCAGTGTTTCCCCTACCATTATAGTAGGCTGGGACCCTGCCCTCCCAACGGCCTTCCCTGCCCCCCTTGTAGTCAAGTTAATTGTATTTTCCAGACCACAACTTCTTTTAAAAAACAAACTAAATAGCCGTATGTGATATCTTATTTACACAATGATATGTCATTTCTGTCTCTACACTGTCGCACATTTACAAATTTCTGCTCTCTGAATCGTGCACAGTGGAATTCCAAGCAGCCACTCTCTATTCTGTATGGGAATGAGAACGCACCACATCTGACAGGACAGATAGTTTCTCAGAAGTTAAATCACTTTAATTTCACAATTGTTGTTAAATTCTTGAGAAAAAAAACAAATTTAGTCACACAGAATGTCGCCTGACAACAATAACCCCCTAAACTGTAAACCTAGGGGAAACAATGAGGCCTCTATTTTGACGGTCCATGCGCAAAGTGCAAAGCGCAGGGCGCAAACGCATTAGGGCGTGTCAGAATCCACTTTTACTAATATAAGGATGGAAAAATCCGTTTTGCGCCGAGGCCCATGTTCTAAAAGGATTAAGCTTATTTTCTTAATGAGTTATAGGCGTGTTTTGAGAATAAACCAATCAGAGTCTCATCTCCCATTCCCTTTAAGAGTCAGTTGCGTCACGCCATAGCGCATTTGCTATTTACATGACGTATAGTAAGTGTAAGTGAAAAAACTGAGCATTTCACTAGCAAGAAAACAGTTAAACAGAGCATGAGAATGACAGATAAGCCTCCTCATTATTAACTTTCAGTTTCAGTTTTGCTAGGGAAACCTTGTATGCACAGACATCAATTAGCCTATAAATAATTAATTTCATGTGTTAAGTGCAAAGATTTGTTTTAAAACTATTTCTAAATTCCGTTCTAATTTGCAGTAAACAAATAAATGAACAATAATAATGAAGTGTGTTCAAAAACCTGAGTTATTTCCTAATACACATGCTGTGCCCCATATGGTCTAAAACCTGACAGGTGGGCAAATCTAAGCTTGTTTTTAATAAAACAAATATAAATATGCATATAATAAATAATACTCATAATAATAATAACATTATACATAAGCAAATTCTCATGAATGAACTGAAAAAGCCTCCCGAGATGAAGCAGTCATGAAAGTATGGTTTTTATATTTATGTAGGCTAGAAAATAATGTTTTGTAATATTTTAATCCTTTATATTTATATCCTATATATATCATTATAATATCCTATATTTATCCTTAATATTTAAATTCTTTTTCATGTGTAAAGATATTTGCGTATTGCTCTACATCTTGTGTGCATTAAGCAGTGTGTAAGAGAGGCGCACAACTAACGCACTCTGCGCTGGACAATAGACCGGCTTTGTTCTGGTTGAAAAATTTATTATAGTTTCTCAAAATAGCAACGCGCCTTAACATGCCTCCTTTTTTAGATGAGAACGCCTATGGGCGCACATAAGAGCGCAAATGCATTTGCTATTTAAACACCGTGGCCCAAAACGTTAAAACGACTCTTGCGTCAAGCTGAAACTAGCAAACAACAATTGCGTCGCGCCTTGTGCCACATTGCGCCAGGTGTATAATAGGGCCCTGAATGTTAAAAGACATTGAAGAGATTATTCACCCCAAAATGAAAATCCTGTTATTGTTCCACTAAAAACTCTAAAAGATTTTGTTTGTAACAAAAGCATAAATTTATAACAAGTGGAGGTCTAGAAAATAACAGAATTTTCATTTTGGGGTGAACTATTGCTTAAAGCACAGGTGTCAAACTCAATTCCTGGAGAGCCGCAGCTCTGCACAGTTTATTTCAAACCCTAATTGAACACACCTGATCAAACTAATTAAGTCCTTTAGGCTTGTTTGAAACCTACAGGTAAAGTGTGTTGAAGCATGGTTGCAACTAAACTGTGCAGGGCAGTGGCCCTCCGTTTAGGAGTTTGGCATCAAAGCGATAGTCCTCCCAGCACTGAAAATTCTGTCATCAGTTTCTCAGCCCTTTACTTGTTACAAACATTTATGAGTTTCTTTCTTCAGTTAAACACAAAAGAAGATATTTTGAAAAACGTTGGACCATTGGACTTGACTATTGTATTAGTTTTTCCTACTATGGAAGTCAATGGTTACAGGTTTTAAGCATTGTTCAAAATATCTTCTTTTGTGTTCAACAGAAGAAAAAAAGTAACACACGATTGGAACTACTTCAGGTTGAGAAAAAACTGAGTAAATTTTCATTTTTTGTTGAACGTTCCCTTTAAATATTTCAAGTATACATGGTACAAAAGGTTTTTCTCTTTATCTTTCTATTTATCAAAGTTCTTACAAAAAAAACGTGTTATAGTTTTTAAGCAAAAAAAAAAAAAAAAAAACATTGTAGTAAACATACGAACATAATACAAGTAACTTTCAAAAAATGATAAGGAGAAATGTTTTTGTTCAGTACCAAATCAGCACATTACACTAATTTCTAAAGGATCACGTGACACTAGAGTAATGATCCTGATAATTCAGCTTGGTCATGACAGGAAACATTACATCATGCAACGACTTACAGAAAAATCTGCTTATTTTGTTTAGTAAAAAAATGCAACATTGATGATATCTTTTAAAAAACTAAAAGAAATCAAATGTAATTCAATAATTCTCAATAGTTTGGGATTTACCTTTGCTTTTCCCTGGAAGTTGAAGGTGAGCACATACTCCCCCCGCCGTGTCTCACTCTGCCGCACGAGAAATACTCCATGACTGGCCATGCCACCCGCCAGCACCAGCTGAGCCGCTTTAAGACGCGAGAGTGTACCGTGAAACCACTGACACTCGCTCAGAGGATGCTCCACCGTCTCAGACACAGACACATCAGAGAACAGGAACGACCCTGTTGAGAACCAAGAACAAACTCAATACCTCTGTGCTTTGTGTATGAAAAGGGTAAGAATCAGTGTCACAAAATTCAATTTAAAGCTTTACCCACTTACATTTTGGAATACAAGGGGTGAAATGTTGATACAGTATCGCTATATTTTCCACGGTAAAACTACAATAGCATATCGATACAGATGCCCATATTGATATATAACCAATATTTTATTAAACTGTCTGTCCGTCCGTCCATCCGTCTATCCGTCTATCTATCCATCTATCTATCTATCTATCCATCCATCCATCCATCCATCCATCCATCCATCCATCCATCCAGAATGTGAATGAGTGCAAGCGTAGGCTGTGTGGATTGTCACCATGTGCAAATTAAATCACGTCACGTTTGACTATTGGCCCTTAACAGTATTTTCAACTAATCGACTTTCTTATGTTTACAATCACTCTTGTTGCACTGCAAAAATGCTTTTCTTACTTTATTTTTTATCTTGTTTCTAGTCCAAATATCTAAAAATTCTAGAAAATGCTTCTTGATTTAAGACTATTTAGATAATTACTAGAAACAAGACAAAAAAATCTAAGTAAGAAAGTGTGTGTTTCAGTGTGGTTGGGGATTGTTTCACACGCAGTGAGCAACGAAAATAAATAATGGCATAGTGGCCAACCTTAATAATATTTGTATTTTCAAAATGGCAAAAGGCAGTCACACATATTCATTTTTTTTAAAAACCACCAGTAAACCTGATAATGACCTTGACCAAAAGAGATCTCAAGAAGATGGAATTGCACGAATGGATCAGGATAGCGGGAAACAGAAGCAAAGCGATCTCAAGTCAGCCAGAAAACATGACAGGAAAGACTTATCCATGACTGACCTATAACGTTATATGGCACAAAATAATTAAAGACCATTCATAAACGTGATGCTCTTTTTTTGCGCGCTATTACTGTTTAATGGCATCATGTTTTGGGAAAACTGAAATTGTTTGGTGGACATCGATCACTTCCTGTTTTTTTTTCCGGGAATAATTCTTTACAAATTGAGCACTGATTGTAACACAAGTACTGTGTTAAATAATAAGTAATAAGAAAAATATCTTGGAGACTCCCATCCCTATAAAACATCCCATAAAATGCAGGATGGAGACTCTAACATGAAAATACAAATGTCCAAAGGTACTATACAAACATTTGATTAAATAATTATAATGAATGAATAATTTGTTTAGAGAAAACTAGGCTGGATCAAAAATGCACAGCTTTACGATATACGTAGCGGTATGGTACGCCTTGCTTTTTGATACATTTTGACAGAGAAAACAGACATAAAAGCATACCGAACCATACCGTACCACTCAGTGGAAATGAGGCATTAAACTAACAATATAACTAAAGTAGCAGATCTTTTCTTTCACACTGTGACGTTTAGCAGACCATTGATACACCTTATAACAAATCTAGAGATCAGTGCATGTGAAAGTTTATCATTTGCACACTTTTAACTTTAAAGCATTCAGACACAAGAAATGCCATGTGTCGCTCAAAAGATTAAATTTATTTTATTGTCTGTAACTGAATAATATTAGACACTTCAGAAAAAAACAAAGCACTGTTTAATTAATTCATGCCTTTGTTCTTGTAATTTGTTTATATTTTATACAGATGCACTTCCTTGAAAAAAAATGAAAATAAACAATCCACCCAATTAATCAATTAATAAAAAAAAAAAGGTTTTAATTCAAAATACCTATTCTGAAAAGTTGCAATATCTGTAACAATTGGAAATAATATTAATAACAAATACAGAATTTTTTCCACTTTTGTGCATCAGAATTGTGTGTGTTAACTGTAGTATGGCACCTGTGGCATCAGGGGTTTCAGCAAAAGGTGTGCCGAGACTGGCTCCGCCCCCACCAAGCAGCCGACTATCTGATTCGTCCAGAGGGGCGCGGGGCGGTAATTCAGGAGGTAGAGGCTCCAGCTGTGGAGAACCACCAACTCCACCATAGCACACTACAGAGAAAACATTGATAAGTGCTACATCACAATCTGTTGTTCTTGCTGAAAACTAGTACTTACTCTACGGACACATTAAAAATGTCCTAACTCAGGGTCAGAGACTTTTAAGGGCGACCTATTATACAAAAATATCACTTTTATAAGGGGTTTAAACATAGTTGTTTGGCAACAGTTTGTGAACATAAACAGTTTCTAATGGTAAAAATGTAAAAATTTTATTTTTTATAATCACAGTGGATAAAAACAGTCTGCAGAAACACTTTGATTGACATTCTCCCTTTGTTGGTGTCATCAGAGGGGGAAAGCCCTGACCATTAATGACAATCTCTCCCTCATTAGCATGGGATGTTCGTCTTTTTTTAAAATCTGCCACTATGCTGACACACAGGCATTTGTAGCTCCACCCTCTTTTGAAAAAGAGTACAATCTCATTTGAATTTAAAGCGACAGTCCCCAAAATGGCACAATGTGGATCAAAGCCTAAAGGGACAGATTTAAAGAGTTATAAAACATTATTTGTGTTGTATTTTGAGCATCAGACTTATTTTATATCTTGTAAAAAGAGGCATAATAGGTCCCCTTTAAACCTTCTGTTAATCACAGAACTGCTGTGGTCTTGTTTTAGCACTGGCAAACATCATGTAAGCTGATGTCCCATTACACATACTGTCCTGAATGCCGCTGACCACATCACAGTGACATCATCTCTGTAAGGCTTACCTTGAGACAGGCGGTCGCTGAATTCCGGCGTACCGCTGAGGTCAGTCAGAGCACTCCCACATACCCCATCAACATCCTCTTGCTCACTGGAAGAGTCAACGGGTACATTTCAGATCATGTTATACAAGCACGCACAACTAACTACTAAGAATGATCTCATTATTATAACCTTTTCACGTTCCTGCACTTTCTAATTATACGAAAAAACATGAAAACCTACCTCAAACAGATAGCGTTTCTGATGTCGCTGAGCCACGCTCTCATCTGAACCGCATCTCTGGTCTCAATCACGTACTGCACCTGACCTTCCATCTGAGGAAAAACACAGAGACATCAGATGTGCAGACATTCAATTCAAATTCTTTTGTGCAGTGTAGGGCTGCACGGTATTGGACAAAATCTAATATTGCAATGTTTAGTTTGTCTACTATATGTCGCAATATAAATATAATTTCACAAAATCACTGATAACTCTATTTGGAATGAATTCGTATGTTTACATTTAATGGGAATATTTTGTAGAGGAGTATCTGGACACAGTGCAATACAAATGAACACATACAAATTATTCGTATGGTTTTCTGTGAAACCTAACAGTATTGAGGTACAGAAATTCAATATTATTATATACAATGATAAATCAAATAACACTGTACATTATATAGTTGTCATTGTAGACATAATAACATACAATTGGTTTATACACCTTTAAAACCTCTCGGTTTAAGTTTGTTTAAATCTTACTGTGGCAAGTAAGTCCGGGCTAAGAGCCGTGAGGGTGTACGAGGCAGGTGGCGTGAGTGAGATAATCAGACACACCTGAATGCATCACCTGCCTCGAGTCTTACAGAGGAGGCTTGGAAGCTAAAAGGAGGAGAGATGCCAGTTCTAGATGAGAAAGGACCGGGTCCAGACATATTATGCGACTGTGGCTTTCCGTTTGATGGCAGTCTCGTGAGGAGCTGCCGTGCGTTTGTTTTGTTTAATTTGTTATTAAATTATTTCAAAGTGATTCGAGTCTCCGCCTCCGTGGTGGTCGTTAACAAAAGATACACTCTGTCAGTTTAAAACTAGATTAAAAACACATCTTTTTGTATTATACACATAAAAATGCTGTTGAAATCCAAATCACCTAAGGCAGGGGTGTCAAACTCAATTCCTGGAGGGCCAAAGCCCTGCACAGTTCAGTTCCAACCCTGCTCCAACACACTTACCTGTAGGTTTCAAACAAGCCTGAAGGAATCAATTAGTTTGATCAGGTGTGTTTAATTAGGGTTGGAACTAAACTGTGCAGAGCTGCGGCCCTTTTGGAACTGAGTTTGACACCTGTGACCTAAGGGATTGTTAATCTGCATTATTTAGGGCAACCGGAGCCGGGAACACTTCCCTAAAGACATTATAATTTGAACGGAATCTGCGCTTATGTTTGTCTTTTTTATTATTCCCAAGGTTTCCATAACCAGGACCGGGCCGTATCCTGAGCAGCAGCTGTGGTGGTTATGGAGGAGTGGAGAGCATGAGACTGATCCTTGTAGGACCCCAGTGACAACCGAGTCCTCACATTGATCCTGCAGGGACAGCCTGTACACCAGTCAGTGCCCTCTCCCACCTGCAGCTTCTCCAGCCTCCGGTGCCTAGACTGCAGCTCTGCACAAGACATTTGGCCACAGGAGAAATAGTCGTGCCCAACTGAGCCTGGTTTCTCTCAATGTTTAATTCTTCGTTTTCACCAGTTGGTGAAGTTTTTTCCTCGCCGCTGTCGTCACTGGCTTACATGGTTCAGGACCTGTAGAGCTGCGCATTGATGGATTTGCTCTTCAGTGTTTGAACTCTTAGCAGTGAATATTAAACTACACTGAACTGAGCTAAAGTGAACTTCAACACTGAAAACTGGACTGACACGGTTTCAATTGACTATAATCTTCTATGTGAAGCTGCTTTGACACGATCCACGTGGTAAAAGCGCTATACAAATATTGATGAACTGAATTAAACATTATTACAGTGGTGCAAAAACCTGGGAGAAGGAGGGACTTGTTGTCTGCATGCCCTTGCTGCAGAGAGGGAGAGCGAGATAAGCGAGCAGGGGAGAAACACCTTCGTCTGTCCCAAGGTGCTGGGGTAGCTAGAAGCAGCAATGAAGAGGTCTGCCTGCTGCCGTCTCCTAGCATGGGTAGGAGCAGGGTACGTGGGACTCACCACCGGCAGGGAAAAGCTGTGAGAGCCATCCCAAGAGAAGGCTGGGGAAATCACAGATGTCTGCTGAGAGCCAAAGCCTACTACGGTCAACCGATTCGGGAGCGGAGCAGGAAGGAAAAAAAAATCTGCTAGCTGGAAGAGCCACCGACGGTCACCAGAAGACGATCGGGTGGGGAGATTCCTTTATAAGGCTCCCGACACGTCGTCGTCGAATCCCTCATTCGGTTGAGGACCGACCAGGTTTGGAGAACCGAACCCCAATTTTTTTCCCTCTCTCAGTCTCTCCTCGGCTTTTCAGCTTCTTTCGCTTGGCCCTATTTATTCTCAGGTTTCGCTGTTCCTAAAGCATGAGCCCAGGAGAGGTGGGGCTGAGAGCCATGAGAACGTACGAGGCGGGTGGTGCGAGTGAGATAATTAGAGACAGCTGGACGCATCACCTGCCTCGAGTCTCACCGAGGAGCCCTGGAAGTTAAAAGGAGAGACGCTAGTGCTAGATGAGAGAGGACCGGGCCCGGACATATTATGTGACTGTTGCTTTCAGTTTTACAGAAATCTCGTGACGAGCTCCCATGCGTTTGTTTTGTTTAATTAGCTATTAAATAATTTTAAAGTGCTTCGGTTCTGCTCCTCCTCCTTCCCGGCGGCCAGGTAGCCATTAACATTATTACAGTGGTGCCGAAACCCGGGAGAAGGAGAAACACATTGTCTGGATGCCATCGCTGCCTAGAGGAAGAGCGAGTGTTTGGGAGTTCACTGAGCAGAGGAGAAACCTGTTCGTCTGCCCCAAGGTGCTGGGATGGTTAGAAGCGGCGATGAAAAGGTCTGCCTGCTGCCGTCTCCCAGCATGGGGAGGAGCAGGAGACATTGGGACTGACCACCGAAACAGTTCCATGTGCTACAAATGACATTTAATGTTTTTTTTTTACTTTATTATAAACATAATCTGTTTATTTTGAATTCATCGGTCTAACAAATACAGATGTTTTACAAACTTTGTCCAATCTCCATAGTGAATTTTATTTATGACGTCAAGTTTGTGTTAAAACATGTGATGTTGCAGGTCACAGTGGTAAAATAATTGCATAGTAAGTTTAGATTAAGGCCCCGTTTACACAAATATGTTTTCGTTTTAAAATGCATATGGTTTTGCTACGTAACGCCCTCCGTCCACTCTACCCAGGAGTTTTCGAGTGTTGAAAACTAAGCATTTTGGAAACGCTGAAGAGGCCATTTTCATTTTAACACTGCTGCTCCATGTCAGTGTGAATGGGAGAAAATGGAGACATCTAAAAACAGAGACATTTAAAAAAATCTGATTGGGGCTTTGCCCTCAATATTAAATGCACAAAGTTTAGTCTTGAATTCTTTCCTTAAGTTCAGACTTCGCAAGTTTGATATGGAAAACAAATTCATGTTTAGTGTAGTTTTACAGTGTAGTTTCTGACCTCATTCACATCACCCTGGCTACGTTGTTTCACTATCTTAACGATAAATTAAAACATGATATGAGGAACTGCCTATATTCATTGTGATATTAAGTTAATAGACACTAAATGTTGAGGCATCATGTTTTATCTGACATATTTATATGACGGTCATCTTCACTGCATGCATTTTTATAACACAACAGAGCATATATATCAGTTTTAATAATCAATAATGGCCATAATAAAAGTATAACGTACAACAAGTTTATACAATATAGAAAATAAAAGCAAGCAATCAGTCAAATGTGCAGAATCAGTGTATGTGGTTATATTAATATATTAACTTATCTTTGCGAACTAGTAATATATTCAAAAGACCAAAGAGTCGTTAGATAGAGACAAGATGAATTAAATATCACATTTAACAACTATAGAGAGACAAAATCCAGCTTAAGATCCTTGGTGAACCGTCCAACCAGCGCTTTTTTCATCTGGGGTGGTGCCCGCAGAGCTCCCGCTGACTGCCTGGAGCTCATGCGCGCGCATACGCTGAGTGTGTGTGGTCACATGATGTGCGCTTTCAACAGTGTAGTGTGGACGGAGAGCTGTTCAGAAACGCTAGATGAAACGCCAGTGTGGACGTGGATCGTTTTCATTGCAAAACGCTGTTTTAAAACTAAAACGTATTAGTGTAAATGGGGCCTAAGTTACATTGTATTATAAATACATCAGCATAAAGGAATAGTTTGCCCAAAACTGTAAACATTGTTAATCTTTTACTCACTTGACTTTGTTTCTTCTGTTAAACATAAATTTGAAAAGTCAGAAACATGTAGCCATTGACTTCCATAGTAATTGTTTTTTCTGCTATGGATGTTAGTAGTCACAGGTTTTCAGCTTTCTTCAAAATATCTTCTTTTGTGTTTAACAGAAAAGCTTTGGAACCACTTGAGGGTGAGTAAATTGGTGTCTTTGGGAGACCTATTGCTTTAATCTTCAAAATAAAGGCATGCAGATGTACCTGTAGAAGGAAGGTGTTCTCCTTGTCTGGCACCTCAATGGCTGTAGTGCTCCTCACGTCAACAATAGAGCAGCATGGGACAGTCAGTCTGGGCTTGGAGGACTGTATTTACACAATAAAGAAAAATAATTAATATTACATTTTTTAGATTTTACATTTAACTTAAATTAAGCTTTTTTATTATATTTATTTAATTTATAATCAATTGTAGTTATACTAATAATAACAACAATAGGAATATTTGTCATACACAAGCTACTGTTTAAAAGTATGTGGCCAGAAGGATTTTTAGGCAGGATTTTTCTGCTCTGTGATTGGTCAGCTTGGTAGCATTGACAAGTGTGGGTGGCGCGGAGAGGGCAAAAAAATAAAATAAATAAATAACATAATTATTCATTAATCGTAATTGAGTTAAAATGTTCAACTAATCTAGATTTAGATTTTAGGCCAAATCACCCAGCCCTAGATAATAATAATAATAAATATTTCCTGAGCAACTGAAACTTAAAAAAGACTTTTGTTAATTGTTTTCACCATTTTAAAATATATTAAAACATAAATGATTGAAGCAATTATTTTAAATAAAAGTTAAATTTTACAATCTGTGAAAGTATTTAATACTGTTTCCGGGTCCAAGCTGCTACTCATCTGAATTGAGAAAATATTCATGTATGACCAGTTTTTAGTCCTATCGCACATTAAAGTGAATTTTACATACAATCATGGTGTACACAACAGTCTCGAGATTTGCTGCACCTTAAACACCAAGACTTTAACAATAAAAAAAAAAAATCACTTTCTGGCCATCTGATATTAAGCAAAGATATTTACATTGCAATCGTGATTTTCGAAAGCAATACATGGCTTTATAAAGGTTTATTATTTCCATTTGTTGAGTCTCCCTATATAGTTTGATAAAGCACTTAGATCTGGAAGCTAATTTGTGTGATGTCACGCTTAACAAGTGGATTGTTGCTCTTTTAAAAAAATATATGAATTTCCGTGAAAAACAAATATCAACAGGTGATCATAAAAGACTTCTTTCAAACAAAATAAAACACATTACCAAAAAAATAAAAACACCCTACGAATCTACGATATCATATTTTAAACTGTAGTAGTTGATGTGTAATGTAGCTGTGCGAACATAAACAACATCTCTGAATGTAATACGCTCAAAGTTCAATGCAAAGGGAGACATTGGTTTTTACAGAGTTAGCTTAGCAAAGCCTTCAGCGAACGAAGTTTGGGGACTACAAAAATACATCCAAGCAAGTGAGATCACAAGGGCTTCCGGTTACGTGCATTCACCACACGCACACACCCTGTGAAGGGGCGTGGCTAGAGCTGCTTTTTCTACAGAGCTTGTTCTGTTTCTGTATTTGGGCTTCCAAAGGACACGACACAAAGAGAGAAGTGATTACAGTCTAATGTTAATTATGTTCCAGAGAACTATAAAAAAAGATATAGCTTGCATTTGACAAAAGTGAGCTTTCAGAATCTCTCTCAGTTCGGTGCTGGATTCGGCTAAAAATTCCTCCAACAGACGAAGCTGTGGATTGTGAGCCACAACCTGTACGTGTTTTTATTTGTTAAAATTGGTCTATTACATGCACAGTTTCTAGCATTAATGGTATGTTGTAGTGAGGACAAAGACGTAAACAATGGGAAATGCTGTTTGGCACCGCTAACAATTTAGCTACAAATTCATATTTATCAGTCAAACTGATGTAAACACTCACAATCTTCAGCAGCTCTGCAGTGTCTCTCTATACGGCCGCTTACCCGGCATTCTACATCTCAAATAACAAACTCGCAAAAGATAAGTGAACGTTTCATATTACTGACACATGCTTATAACCCGAAACGGTTTCAATTGACTACGATTTACTATCTACTACTATGTGAAGCTGCTTTGACAAAATCTACATTGTAAAAGCGCTATACAAATAAAGCTGAATTGAATTGAATATATATTAAAGACACTTGTCAGGTTTGATTTAGTGCAGGCGCGAGGTTTAGCTGTGTGCTCTTATTTTTTTCTGTCTGATTTAGGCAGCCAACGCTGCCAACAGCTACTCTCACTGTCAATGTTTACTCTGTTGTTTGTCCTGGTGACATTGAGTCAATCCGCGAATCACAGCACATTATGTTAGCTGACCAATCAGAGTCTCTTAAGGGCGGACCTTTCAGGAACTAGGAAATCTGACAGTCATTCTCATGTTAGCAGAGAAGCTATATATAATCAAAGCAAGATATATGAAAAAAAAAAAGTATTTCTACAAGTGCAGCGTGAGCACACGTTGCTTGGCATCTTATAAACACAACCAAGCCTTTAAAAAAATACACTGTGGACCACCCCTTTAAGCAATATTTTTGATTGTCGACAGAACAAACCTTCATTATACAATGATTTGTCTAATTACCCAAACTTGCCAAAATAACCTTATTAACATAGTGAAGCCTTTAAATTGCACTTAAAGCTAAAAACTATATCTAGAAATGATAAATAAATATCTAGTAATATATTATGTACTCTCACCATGGCAAAGATAAAAGAAATCAGTTATTAAAACAGTTATTAAAACTATTGTTTAGAAATGTGTTGAAAAAAATCTTTCTATTTTGCAGAAATTGAAAAACAAATTAATTATAATAACTCAGGTAAATAATTTTGACTTCGACTGTATGTAAAACTTAACTAGTTAAGCTCTGGGGCTATTTGGGGTAATTCCGCCTGAATTTGGCCTTCCGAATTAAAAAGCTTCCCATACCCACATGCAGTGGTGTAAATACAAAGGTTTGGTATCATTTGAAAGGAAACCCTTTGAAATTTCATACAATAGAGTTGAAATTGAAAACAATTGTTGTATATATTGTCTGTGTTATAATAAACACACAAAAAAGGCGCTTTTTTTATAAATTGAAGTTTGGAAATGTGGAAATCAGTATTGGAGAGTTGCAGCACCCTGGAAACAGTTTTATTTCTTTCCAGCAGGTGTCAGCAAACACCTTTTTTCTTTATAATAATTTATATGAGAATAATTCTATTCCAACTGCAAGGAGGAAAAATGCCATTTATTTTTATTTCCGCCTAACTATTTTTGAAGTCTCCCCATACCATCATACATTATAATAAATGCAATATCTCATTGTCATTTAACAGAAAACCCTTTGAAATTACAAAAAGAACTGCTGAAAGTGATAAATATCATTATGTATGTTGTCTGTCCTATGATGAACCACCTCAACACAAACCGCTTTTAGTTTTTTTTGTCCTAAAGCCTGATTTAGAAAGTGTATAACTCTGTAAGCTCCATCAAACTGCAGATTGCTTTGATTGTTACCAGCATTTGTCAGGAGACACTAGAAAAAAGAATTTTGTTTTTATCATGTAGTATGCATTAATTATGTCAGTTCAACCGAAGGGTAGGAAATCACAACGTTTTTGCTTCTGATCTGTGACTTTTACACATTCTGTTTTGCAAACCTCTCTTCCTGTTTGTCATGCGATATCTCAGTCACTGATTGGCTGATCAAGGTTCGCGATACATCAGCGTAAAGATGATAATCTCACCTTTCCAGTGATATGTAATCCATCAAGCTACCATATTTTCCCGAATTTTGGAATATCATGACCCTATTTTGTTGCGTTTCGCACTTACAAGACACAGCAGGGGTTTACTGATGCACACTTCCTCAGAAAACACTGAAAATGGACTCATTTTGCAGAGGACAACCTAAGGTAAAAGATGATGTAGCTTGTTTGGCTATCTGTGCTAGCTCCGGCAGCTCACGGAGTAAATGATCAATAATTTCCCTTGTATGTTTACAAAAAACGAGTTCATACTTTATGATTCATTCGAAGACTGTTGGATATGTGATTGTAAATCAATAAAAATAACAATGGATCCTTATTATTGGGAATGGGAGCTTTAATTTGATGTATTACTTGCCATTGTGTGTCTAATATTAGCGATGTGAAAAATATGCATACTGAACAAAGTACATAATCGGGAGGGTTGAGATACTATACATCGAGTCTAAATTAAGTGTTAATAACTTTGTTACAGTACAACAAATATCAAAGTGATGTATATCAGTTGAAAATACACATTCTAAGCTTTCACTCAGTAGGCCATATGGTTTTATTGATGCAGATAGACCTCTTAAATCTATTGTTATTCTCCCGATGATGTAATTTTGCCCCTTGTACCGGGCACGCAGAGTTTAAGTGGTTAAATGTATATATTTTACATGTAGAGGCCAAAAAGTTTCACCAACCTTCGGCGGGATGTAAAACTCCAGGAAATATTCCAACCCTCCATCCCCTCCATCCTTATCTCGTTCTTTCAGAACTAGACGGCACTTGTGCCAACGCGTACCCCGTCCACCCACAGCGCCACCTATGGCTGTGGGATGTCCAGACACAGAGCTGTCTGCGCCGTGATGCAGCAGTCCAAAGGAAAAGCCTGGGAACCCGTGAGTGCTGGCGAACTCATCCGAAGATGAGCACACGGTCACTCCTCCCTCCCGCACCAGCCTGCCCATCTTCCTGGAGGCGTTGATGCTGCTTGGTGGGAGCGATGAAGGGGATAAAACCGAAGATGGAGGAGCTGCGCTGGACAGATTTGGCGGAGGAGAGCGAGACAGTCGTAGTTTTTCCAACCGGTGACTCCATTTCTCCTTCTCGCCATCTCCGTTGCTCCTTCGCCAGTCGCGGGCCTCAGAGAGCGAAAGAGAAGTGGCGCTGCTGGAGGATGAAGGGGGCAGTGAAGAGGACGAGGAGTGAGGAAGGGAAAGGGGAAGAGAGAGAGACACCGGGAGAGAAGAGGGAACCCCTTGCGAGCCGGAGTTCCTCTTGCCATCCTGCAGGCCAGTAGTGTAGCTGTAGCTGGAGGGAAGAGGGCTGGAGTTGCTGCAGTTCTGCGGGGAGTCGCTGGAGGAGCTGCGCCAATGCAAGATGCCCCTCACACTACCCCTGACACTCCGTCCCACACTGCGCAAAGAGAAACGCTTCTTTAACTTGTTCTTGGAGTGACCTCCAATAGGCGTCCCGTTGCCTTTCGAGTTTGCTGGTGCACTGGAGGGATTGAGGGTGAGGTCGGCTCTTTCTAAATCCTCGCCCTCATTGTCCCTACCTATGATGTCGGTCTCTACCTCCTCCAGAGTTACAGGTCCTGCCCAGCTATCTTCCTCTTCCTCTAGGTCTTTATATCCTGAAGGATTGTGTTTGAGGGCCATTCCCCTCTCCTCTCTGCGCCCGTTATTTCCACCCATAGAGGACGAGCAAGACGACGAGGAGGACGGTGGGAGAATCTGCGCGTGAGCGTACGAGTCCTGAAAGCCTCCAGAGTTCTGGAATCGTTCTGTACCACGGCTTTCCTGGGTCAGGATAGGTTTGGGAGTGGCCCGTGTGTGAATAGGTGGGCATGAGGCTGCTGCGGATTCCGCCGTTAGCAAAGACGGAGATGCTGCATCCTCCTCTAACGAGGTAACATCCGATTGGGCGACCCAATTCACCGTACCTTCCCTACTGATACCAGTTACTTCAAGCTCGCTCTCAAAATGCCGAACAAATCTGTCTGTAAAGCGACGGCAAAAAAGAGCTGCCGAATCAGGGGAGTAATTTGGGTTCTCCTGAAGGAAGGCCCGGAAATGTCGAGCAAAATCCCCGGCGGCTACCCGGGCATGGAGCTCACAGAACTCGGTCCAGCTGAGGCAGGGAGATGGCGATGGTGTGGGTGTGTCGGATAACGAAGACAAGGGTTGACCTACAGGAGTCGGAGGAGGCAAAGGCGGAGGTCTGGTGGACAAGGGCAACAGCGATGGAGACGGAGGAGAGGGCGATGGAGAAGGGGATGGCGGAAGGGGAGATGAATTAGCCGCAGCCCGTGGACTCGGTGGAGTTAATAAGGAGCCGTTCATGACTGACTAATCAATCTCAGACCAACCGATCATCAAAGACGTCAGGATGGCTGCGATTAGGTGTGTATGGGGGGCACGCAATCTGTTCATCAGGCTACGGTTTTATGATAGACTCCAATTCTGAAAACCTGACCAAAAATATGTGGCCTGATAAAAATGGCCAGGAATCGTCTTCCCCCATTTAAAGAAAAAGACTTGGCTCTGTATTCGTCTAAAGTACTTCACATTCTATACACAATAATGTGTGTATGTAGGAGCAAAACTAAAAGATGTCAGGAGCAGCAGGCTAAGCTGATGATGGTAGTTTTCAGGTGGTCTCTGGTTTACGGTTCGGAGAGGATCCTACGCTTGGGATTTGTGACCTAAAAAAGAAGTAAAGAGAAATTTTTAGATATGGATTTTAAAAACTGATATAACATTGCCATCATTTTTATCTAAAAATAATAACTATACCATCTAAATGAAACAAACTATTTCAAAGCAAATATTTTTATTTTCTTAAACACAATATCATAGCTAGGTCACCCATTTTTTTATTCTGACATTTTACTCATTCTAATGATGTTACAAATCTTTTTGAGGAGATAGATGACAACTTTCCTAGTGTGAAAAAAAGACGCAATGAATGTGGATATAGACACAGGCTTTTTGCCGTTTGTGCTCCACAATACAACATAAAAATTAAGGATGTCCAGATACGATCACGTGATAGGAAATTGGGCCTGATCACACAAGTTCAGACTCTGATCAGAATCAGACACAACCTCCCGACCAGGACTGGAATATATATATATATATATATATATATATATATATATATATAATTATTTTTTAACACATCACTTTGTTGCAAAGAGGCTATTGGTTAAATGACAAATGAATGGTCAAATGACGGCAAAGAACACAAAAGCAGCATGAAGCGGAAAGAGTGAGTATGTCTGCGATCTGGAGGTATTATAAAGTTGATGATGACAACATTGCCATAGCAAACTGTGACGTATGTAAACTTGGGATTGCCTGTCGGGTATTTTAAGTTGAGGTGCTATTTGTTTTTATATTAGATTTTTAAATTATAATTACTGTTGCACTGAAGTCCAAAAGTGAAGATTTAATACTATTTATTACCTAATTGTTCAAGCTATTTCACAGAAGTGCTCTGTTTGTTAACAGAGTTGTTGAATGTTAAAATAAGGTGAATTAAATAAAACATAAGAAATATCCTGGATCTGTTTTTTCGCTCTTCTTTTCTCTTTTTGTATGTATTATTGAAGTATCTGCTCGGGTATCGGTAGATACTCAAAATCAAATGACAGACTTGAGGACAAAAAAAACCTGATCAGGACATCTCTAAAAAAAATCATGTAGGGTTGCAAACATCATGAAAGCGAGAAATATATATTTTTTTCTCTAAACAACTATATTTTCATTTCCAATGCATATTTAAAATTAAAAATAACATACATGCTGTTAAATGTGACGTTTTGCCTGCATTTTGTTTTTTTTACATGTAACAAAAGTTTCCTATATGTTTACAGCATAGTATGAGGGTTTGAAAATTAAGGACATTTTACAATCTCTAAAAGGCATTTGATCAACTCTGACTATTATCAACCTGAGCACAAACTTTGGATGATCTTCCAGCTACGAAAATGTGACATTTACAAGCTATGTGTCATGCCTGAAGGAAGTAGAAGGATGCGTTGTTTTGCTTTCGAGCTGTGAGCCTCAATCCTCCACCTGATATCCGAAGAACGTGCTGAGCGCTAATATCTCATTTATTTTTATTACAGAACCACCTACAGCCAACAAACGGAGCATCTGTGAACATTTAAAGACGAATTCAAACCTAAACCCCGAATTGAAAACTGTTAAGACTATTTACATGATGCAGAAATGATGCTCACGAGCCCCTGCGATAACTCACCATTTTCAGGCCACGGTGTAACTCGAGGCCGGCGCAGTTGTTCGCTGTAAAGAAAACACACCACGCTTAAATGCCAGTCGGTGGTATTTACAACTAATAGAGGTTTAATAGAAAAATCACACAATGCTAAACACACTTCACTAGGCTAGCTGTCTGACATAAGTTTAATTGTCAAAACACGCTCTCACGCTGATAATGTCAACACACCGAGCTAACTCGGGCTAGCCTGCTAACTTTAGCGCATGAAAACACTGGCTAGTTATGCTAACGATCTTTTCGCAACGGGGAAAACAATGTCGCATTAACTCACCTTTTGTGCACATATGACGCGATTTGTTCGTTGGCCTTAGTGAAATCCAAAAAGGTTTCCGTGCAAACGTATTTTTGAGCTAGCCTGGTGCTAACAAGATAACACAGCACTGCTATTAAATTATCAAGTTTGAGCTGCTGGTCAGCTAGCTGGCTGTATTGCTAGGCAGGCAGTGTGTCTGCCAATGTTTACAATAATATTCATTCCTCTTCGTCTAGCTGTCCCCTGTTGATGCTAAACTTATTGATGAATCGTATCGTATCTATTTATTTATAAGGGCTTTGCGACTGCTCTTGTTGCAGGTATATGAATATTTCTCTGCCTGCTGTCCCAACCAGTCTCTCGCGATATAGTGGGAGAGGGTGTAGGTTGGGGGGACAGGGAGTGTTGGAGAAGGGGGATTTTCAATGGGAAAAAACACTGAGGGAGAGGGATGTGCAAATTTAGGAGGAGCCACATTGGACAGTTGTATGAAAAAGTAAAGCAGGGACATTGCTCAGACTCATGGTTGAGTCATATATAGAGGTTGTAACACATTGAACTTCAGATAGCTGCTTGATTATTTCAGTAAGAGATGAGGATATGATAAATGGGATCATGCACTACAAAATGGACTTCATATTTTTGGAAATTGGGATTATTAGACTATATGAGAGCTGAATACATAAGCTTTTCTTTGATGTATGGTTCCAGATTTGGCCAAGCTACAACTATTTAGACCAAAAAAATGTAAATTTTAAGAAAATGTGCCTTTAAATGTCTAAACGAAGTGCTTAGCAAGTATATTACTAATCAAAAATTAAGTTTTGATATGTTTACAGTATAATATGATGGTTAAAATAATTTAAATATTGGGAAAATTGCACTGGAGTCTAAATGAAGTGCTTAGCAATATATTACTAATCAAAGCATTGAGTTTTGATATATTTACAGTTTATTATGAGTAATTTGCCTTTAGCTGTCTAAATTAATTGCTTGTCAACGTATATTACTAATCAAACATTAAGTTTGGATTTATTCACAGTATAATATGAGTGTTAAAATAATTAAACATTGACAAAAATCCCCTTTAGCTTTCTAAAAGAAGTGTTAAGCAATATATATATATATATATATATATATATATACACACACACACACACACACACACACACACACAGTATATTACTAATCAAACATTAAGTTTTGATATACTTACAATAATGTGAGCGTTAAATTAAAATATTGAAAAAAATTGCATGTGGGCTTCTAAATGAAGTGTGATCTTGCAATTTATATTACTTATCCAAATGTAAGTTTTGATATATTTACAGTATAATATGGAAGTTAAAATAATTAAAATATTGAGGAAATTGCACTTGGGAGTTTAAATCAAATGCTTAGCAATATATATTAATAATTAGAAATTAAGATTAGATATATTTACAGTATAATTTGAGGTTTTAAAAATTTTATATCAAGAAAATTGCCTTTAGCTGTCTAAATGAAGTGCTTAGCAATGTATATTACTAATTAAACAGTAAGTTTTTATAGATTTACAGTATAATATTAGGGTAAAAATAATTAAAACATTGAGAAAATTGTCTTTAGCTGTATAAATGAAGTGCTTAGCACTGTAAAATACTAATACAAATTAAGTTTTGATATATTTACAGTAAAATACGAGCGTTAATAAATTACAATATTGAAAAAATTGCAATTTGGCATGTAAATGAAGTGCTTAGCAACATTTATTACTAATCATAAATTATGTTTTGATATGTTTACAGCATAATATGATAATAAAAAAGTGTTATTGAGAAAATTGCATTTGGGTCGTCTAAACGAAGTGCTTAGCAATGTATAATACTAATCAAGCATTAAGTTTTGATATAATTACAGTATAATATGAGGGTTAAAATATTTACAAAATTTAAAAAATGGAGTCTAAACGAATTGCTGAGCAATGTATATTAATAATCAAACTTCAAGTTTTGTTATATTTGCAGTATAATATGAGCGTTAATCAATGTAAATATTGAGAAAACATCACTTGGGCGTCTAAATGAAGTGCTTAGCAATATATATTACTAATCAAGCATTACGTTTTGATATATTTACAGTATAATACGAGGGTTAATAAATAAGGTATTAAGAAAATTGCACTTCGGTGTGTAAGTAAAGTGCTTCACAATATATATTACTATAATTAAGAATAAAGTTTTGATATTTTTACGGAATAATATGAGGGTTTAAAAAATAAATATTGTAAAACTTGCATTTAACTGTCTAAATAAAGTCCTTAGCACTATAAAATACTAATAAAAAATTAAGTTTTGATTTTCTTACAGTATAATATGAGGGTTAAAATAATTAAAATATGGAGAAAATTGCACTTAGCATTTTAAGTGAATTGCTTAGCAATATTTATTACTAATCAAAAATTAAGTTTTGATATATTTATAATAGGATATTTACAAATGTCTTCATGGAAACATGATCTTTATTTGATATTGTAATGAACATTGGCATAAAATAAAATAAAAAATGACAATTTTAACTCATAAAATGTATTTTTTGGATATTTAAATAAACCACAGCAACCTAGGACTGGTTTTGCGGTTTGTGTTCACAAGTAATATGTGCAAATCGTAAAGTAATGTAATTTGCAGTAAAACGCTTTACAAACGTTTGAGGGGGTCTCTCCTCATTAAATAATAATATTTCATAA